CACGACGTTCTGCTGTGTATAGAGTTAAATGAACTCAGATTTATTGAACTGAAAAAAAAACCAAGCAAACACTGCAATGTACAACGTGCGCCTTCTAGGGTGAATGGACCCTTAGGGGAGCTGCACTTTATTTTATTTGTTCTCAGTGCCAAGAACCCCATGCCACTAGCACTGGACTCCCATCACTAAAAACACATGTCACGTGTCGGGTCCTACTCATTTATTAAAAGGAAGAAAGGCAGATGTGTTGTATATAATGATCCCAGCAGTTCTTTTCTTTGGATCATTCTAAAGGTTCATTTTACAGAGGCTTAAAACAGAACAACTCTGCAGCCACGAGGGGAACCAACTACCATACAGTGCAGCACCTATTAAATTTAGATGAACTTTGAGTACATGCAGAGGCGTGGGGAGGAGTCTGCAGAGCATTGGCCTGCTGCATGCTAGGAGCTGTAGTCCCAGGAGGCAATGTCAGTGCCTTGGTGAGAAGGATGACTAAAAAGGGACAGAGGGATTTCATTCCAAAAGAGGTACAATCCCTCCAAATGAGGCACAGTTTGGTGGTATGCATACCTGCAGGTTATGTGCGGCCTCTCTCAAGCCTGTCAGAAAAACTCCAAGGTAGATGACCACCCTGGTTGTGCCCGCAGCACCACAGGTACGTGAGCTCTTGCTCATTCAAAACCTGCACGCGCTCAGTGCACTCTCCATTTTTCCGCACAATACTGATCTCAACTACTAGGGTAGAGGGATAGAGAGCGCAATGCACATGTGTGTTGAAGGAGCCAAAATGAATTGGTTACAGCACTCGTTTTTTTTTTTTCCTTTTTGGGATAATGATTTTAACTATATGAATAAAAGCTGACCACTGTAGGCACCCTGACAGTGTTAAATGGTTCGGCTCAACCCTCTCACTGTTACTTTTGGTGGACAGCTTGGTCTGGTAAGGGAAGGATCTGGCAGGATCAACAGGTAATAAAACTATGTTACAGGTGAGTTTGGGGGCATCAACACTGCTGATACTGCCGGTGTTAATGTTAGTGACAGTCTATGCTACAGTACATATGTCATTTTTTACATTTGCCCTTTGTTCTACTTTGAGCACTGTTTATTGCAAACTGTGCCAAGGTTTTATTCTGATACCTGCTATATGAATGCCTTTTTTATTCAAATAAACCTCCAATTTTACATGTACATCCTGAGATCTAATCTCTTTTTTGCAGTCACAAAGATTGAACATGATTATAAGGATATCTGTTTCAGACATGTGACTGTAATCTTCAAATTTCATTAGAGTTAAAACTAAAGCTAGTCATACACTAATAGATGTTTTGCACAACATTCATGAAAAAAATCTCTTCAGAACACTCAATAATGCCGTCATAGACTTGATGACATAGAATGACATTCAAAACGTTATTTGATTTTAACATTCGATTTTGGAATGAATGGAGCTTCTCGAATTAAAAATCCCATTTAGGGGGTCGTTCACAAAGCTGCCAAGGGCAGCCGAGTGAAAAACCCAGTCGAAGGACATCGGCCAGCCGAAGTGCAGAAGGACTCCAACTCAGCCGATCCAACATCTGGATCGGCTGAGCCGAAGCTCCGTCAACTCACTCGCTGCCATTCGCCCCTATTCACATGGGGGCCGAACAGCAGTGAGTGAGTGAGCTATTCTGCTCGGTACCTCCGTGGTACTGAGCAGAATAGAAAATAGTGAAAAAAGTAGAAAAAGAAAAGGTTACATTTTTTTTTAGAAATGTAAATAAATACTAAAATAAAAAAATAAAGATTTTTTTAAAAAGAAAAAAAAACTATTGGGTGGAGCTAGCAGTGACAGCTAGCTGTGCCCAACTGTTTCCTATTGGCCAGCACCTGCTAGAGTCTTTTAGCAGGTCCCGGCCAATGAATAACAACTGGGCGGAGCCGGCCGTGATGTCACAGCCAACTCTGCCCAGTTGATATTGTTTAATGACAGTTCAGTGTCCCCAGGTCATTTGGGGGGAACTGATCTGCCATTACACCTAGGCCCCGCTTCGTCTGTCACTTCTGCTCAGTCGAGCCGAAGCATATGCCTTCGGCTTGGCTGAGCCACCCGTCCGCCTTTGGCTGCTGTACGGGCTATAGTGAATAGCCCGTAGAGCATCCCTTCGGTTCGACTGAAGAGAGAGGATCAGCCAAAGCTACGGCTGGATCCTTCGGCTAGCTTTGTGAATAACCCACTTAGCGTTAGAAATTAGTTTGCTCAAGAAATCACGCTACTTCCATTTTTTTTCTTTAGTCCGAAAACGTTTTTTGTTTTGGCTCAATTAGCTATTAGAAAATAAATGTTCCAAACGAATGTTTCAAAAATGCAATTTTTCTAACATAATACTACTGGTGTATGACTAGCTTTAATGTGACTTAAAAATAAGATAATTATCCTGGAGCATTGGATTTTTTAAATGTAATAAATGCATTGTTCTTTTTCTCCTTTAATACTTCACAGCTGCATTGTTCAGTATTTGCAGAGTATAATGTGTACGCACACCCACACAAGCACATCAGCAAGGGTGGCATGCTCCTGTCAGCAATATCCTTTAGTTTAATAAAGCTGTGTGGGGAAGCATATTTCAAGAACAGATTGTACCAGCTGCGAGAATAGGAGGTCAGCTTGGTGTGCTGAGCAGAATGTTCCTTATACCTGTCTGCAATGATTGCGGTTGTGAAGTTGAAGACAGCTACATGCAGGGATGGCTGATGACTTAGAGGTGAGCCAGAGAGAGTACTGCAGCTAGACCAAGAATAATTACCAGTGAATGAAATACCTTCCAATAGTTACAATTTCTGGTGGTGATCATTGTCAGATATATTTTGCAGTTTCTTGTTTCTGCAAAATAATAACTGTGTTATCTGATACACATAAGTTTATTGGCAGCCAAAACCCTAAGAAGGGTTAGGCCTCTTTTACACGGGTTGTTCGTTTACATCTGACTCCCCATAGCCCGACATGGGGTCTGACAGTTTTAGTTCTGGAAACAGTATAGACACAGATGTTACATTGGTGACATCCAATCAGTACTGCTTCGATCAGGGGGGGATCCGTGTAATCAGCCCGGGTGAAAGGGGCCTTAGAAGAACCTGTTAGCTGTTTTTGTTACATGACGTAGTTAATTGGAGTGCCACAACATGTACAGTATCTCACAGAAGTGAGTACACCCCTCACATTTTTGTAAATATCTGATTATATCATTTCATGTGACGACACAGAAGAAATGACACTTTGCTACAATGTAAAGTAATGAGTGTACAGCTTGTATATAAGGGCTTGTTCACACCAAATGCAGACCAGATCTGCATGAGGTTCTGCACACGCAGTGCAGTGGCTTGTGCCGCGTTTTTGATGCGTTCTGGGCCGTTTTTGGGTAAAAAAAAGGGCTTTCAGTGCGTTCCAGGGCGTTTGCATGCATTTTTTATGCGTTTCCATGCGTTCCAGAGCAGGTAAAATAGGGCTTGCTGCAGTTTTTTTTACATGCTCTGGAACTGACAAACTGTGGTGTGAACTAGAGCCCAAAATACCATTGAAATACATTGGACGCAGTTTTGATCCGGTCTGTAACTGCTCTGCTCCTGGAACGCGCATGGTGTGAACAAGGCCTCAATGTACATTTGCTGTCCCCTCAAAATAACTTAACACACAGCCATTAATGTCTAAACCGCTGGCAACTAATGTGGCTATTCCGTTATTCTATTTAGAGCTGGTGACTACGCACTGGAGTGTAGACACCCTGCAGAAAACAAATGTAAATGAGTCAGGCAGTATAGAGAAGGACCTAGCTACATCTAAAACCCTAAGGTCTGATTTTGGTAATATAGTGGGTAACAGGGAAGTAGCAACCAGCACACTTTTTTTTATACAAAGGCACTTCTGTATTGTAAAGTATCTAAACTGAAAAACCAGTATGTAATACACAGCAGATAACCAGTCCTTATATCAAGTGGCTGTATTAGTTTTCATTTTTCAAGCTCTTTTGCCTTTATTTTCAACTGGAGATCCTGAGAAGAACACACTTCCTGTCCCTTCATGTCAACACTCTCCTCTCCATGGCATCTATGGAGGTAGTTATGGATGGTTGTCACACAGGCTGGACTTCATACATGTCTGCCTTAGTTCATCTCCATTACATGGTGGGTTTATGGGACTTGTCATTTACAAAAGAGAAATAACATTGATTTGCAGTCTTTTTAGCTCCTAGGAAGTGACAAGGACTTTGTATTTTTGGCAAGATCAACAGGTATGTTCTGTAGTTGCTAAGAATATTCTTAGCCTAAAAATTAAATCTAAAGCAGCCAATACATCTAAGGCCTGGTAAGCTGCAATATATTACATTGCTGTTCTTGGGATTAGATGCACTTTAACATGCATTTGTTTTCGCCCCGAATGGGGAATGCCTGGGTTCACTTTACACTTGGATCACAGATCACAGTAGCATTTCAGGACCACATAACGTATGTCATCCAAGCTAATGCTGTGTATTTTTCTCTTCAGGTTCAGATGGAATGTCCCAGACTTCTGTGAAAAACATGGGAGTTGCTGCCAATTCAGTCATATTACACAGCCTGACTATATCAGGTAAATTGTACATTTATGTTTGTGTCATTTTTATATTATAAAGCTAAAAAAAGGTCAGGAGCTAGTCCCAACATAAATTATTTGTTTCCTGAATGGTATCGGTAGCATGTTTTCTGACAATTATTCCCAGATTTCAGATGGTGTGTTAGTTTTTAATGCTGGCATTCTGACACAAAGGCATGGGGCATTTCCCTTACATAGATTATATATACTGTGTGTGTATATGTGTATCTATCTATCTATCTATCTATCTATCTATCTATCTATCTATCTATCTATCTATCTATCTATCTATCTATCTATCTGTCTATATACAGTACAGCTATTCCTCACTTAACGACCTACCTTTTTAGCGACTGCTCGCACTTACGACCACCTCTCCGACAGTATGTGTGGGAACGTGCAGTGCAGCATCAAACCTACTTCCTCTTGCATACAGTACTGTACTCCGTTCTCAGCTACTATTCTTGGTAAGTACTGTATTTACAGTACACTGTACAGTACTGTACTAATACAATACTGTATAGAGTTCCTCGCTTAACGACCAATTCATTTAACGACCTAGTCGTAGGAACAGAACTCGGTCGTCAAGTGAGGAATAGCTGTGTATATATATATACACATGGTATATATAGTATATTTAGCTGTTTACCTGAAGTTGTAAAAAGGCAACCCCTTCCAGGTTATTGTAGTAACAGACAAATACAGTATGTAACTATAGAAGCTTCCATCAAGTGGGTGGCTTTGTGCCATTCTGCTGTTTCATCTTTACTTTGGCTTCTACGTCGTAATGTTTTTGTTTTATCGTACACAATCCCCTTTTATCTCTCTCCAGGTTTATCATCCATAGACGCAGAAAAAAACATAATTCTGGACAGCCCTGTGCATCTGAAACTAGAGTGTATTCTGGAAGCTGACTCCATGCAGATTTCCAATCTAACATGGAAACATGGAGAGGAAGAACTCAGCCAAGACCTTTATCTGGACAATAAGACAGCCGGTGAATGGCGCACCACACTGGAGTGAGTGTATGTTGTTAGGTGTTATGTCGGCTTAGTTTATCTAGGGATGAGCTCAGGTTTAGGCCGAACCTGGTCCAAACCTGAGCTTCTCCAAACCCAGAAGGAGCTCCTCCCGAACATGGAAGGGGGCTTCTTCCATGTTGTCCAATCAGCTGTGGACAGAGAGTTCCCCAGTAAGCAAAGGTGCAGGATGCAGTGATATCATTAACCTTATATGGATACATGCCTATATTTGGTAAATTCCATTTGTGACCATATTAGGTAAATGACATCACCACAAACATCCAGTTCCTTTGTTTACATACTGCTCTGGGCGATAAATTCCACATCCACAGCTGACTGGACAGCTTGGAAGGAGTCTCCTTCCATGTTTGGAAGGAGCTCCTTCCGGGTTTGCAGGTGCTCAGGTTCATACCAAACCCAAATCCCTAAATCTGTCCTTCGGAACCAGCAAACTTTATTCTAATTTAACAGGCAGTGGTAGTGTGCACAGAGAGGTCAACACTATTTAGGAGGTGGCCATCAAACAAATATTCAACCTTTTATTAGGTTATCATGTGATCAGCTGAAAAATAAGAAAAAGGACCCTTGAGAGTGTATATCTATACCCCTGCC